TTTAGCAGTCATAACGTCACACAGAAGAGCCAAATGTCTATAGTTGACATAGGAACCATCAAACGAAATAACGTGATTCATTTCACGCTCAATAGCTTTTCGCACTGCTTCAATTCCCAAAACTTCGAATATTTCACATATATCGTTGGACGTCGTGCGTATCGGATCCACATTTTGTTCACTCAGTACCTTAGCTAAGGCAGTACCATCAGTTTCCAGAAGCCATTCCGGAATTGCCTTAAAGCCACCATCCGGAGTAATCACAACTCGTTTTTTGTCATCAGTTGTTGGCTTATGCATATATACCTTAGTGATTGCTTCAATACCCTGAAGCGTGAGATCACTAAGCATATTGGTTTCAATACACCGCAAGAATACATCATCTTCCATTCGTTCCACCTGCTCATCTTCATTACCCTTATCACCTTCCTGATTGGTAATACGAAGCCGGAATACAAGTTTTTCTGCATTATCATCTGTATAAATGACATTCAGATCATCTCCAAATCCCTGATGTATTTTATCTGCAATTGCTTCCATCGTTAATTTCTTATCAGTCATCCGTCGGCGATCCAATTCGATACGCAAAAGCCACGGACTACATCGAGATGGATCAAAATCAGGCATTTCATAGAAAATGTTCACCCATTCCTGATCTTCTTCAATTATCGTATTCTTCGGATCCGGATCATAGTAAATTGCTGTATTTGCTGTTACTTTTCGTAACGTTGTATGTTCCAATTTGCACAGTACGTCCTTCGCTTTCTCGGCATCTCTGAAATTTTAAATTACTTTCGTCTTTTGTCCTTGACTTCTCTTTTCAGTCGCTGTCAATATAATTTCATGAAATTGAAAAACAAACATTCATTGTTCATAGTTTTTTTTCAGTTTTCCGTAAATGAAAAATGATGCTCACCCCCTCACAAATTGAAGTAAATAGGCATCCTATAACCGGGTTGTTTAAGTAAATTTTTTTTCAAAACAAATTAAAAATCAAATTTTTTTCAGATAAAAAAAAATATACTTTGCAGCAGTTCCTTGCAGAAAAACGGTCAATGAAGGTGTTTTCGGTTTCTTCGAGACATTAATGATTTCTTTCAATCGTGGAACGCCAAGTGTGACATTTTTGGCCGAAACACCAGCATAATGAAAAGTGTTTAGAGTCATCTGCGTAGCTGGTTCACCCAAACTTTGCGCCGCTATTGCACCAACCATTTCACCAGGCTGTACGATTGCTTGCTTGAAGCGAGATTCGATTTCACCAATAAGCCATTCGAAACCTTCCGAATTCAAACGATGTTTTTCGGCCATCCTTTTTGCACAAAGCGTTGATCGTAGCAGTATATTCATCAGAAGCGTAGCGTTGTACTGAGCCTAAAATTCATATGATTAGTTAGTACTTTATTAATTAGAACAGAAATATTTTTAATTACCAAATGCAACAGAATAATTTTTTCCCTCGATCAATAGAATAATATATATAAAATTCTCCAATCCTTCCTGTCTGATAAAGTAACAAGATGGAAGTCATAAACTTATATAGTCCACTTATCTTCCTTTATTTCTTGTTATTAAGAAATAGGAAAATTAATGTACCTGTTTGCTGATTCGATCTTCACCGCTAACAATAACAAGCTTCTTGCTAAGTTCTTTAACACCTTCAATTACACGTAGAGGATTAAGATCAGTCGGCTTTCGAAGTTCTACACGAAATATTTTCTGCGCATTCCAAATCATGCGTTGCAAATTACACGGTAACACAATTTTGGCATCGCCCTGGAAGATAGATAGTATATTAGAATAACACAAAAATAAAATTTTAACTGATAAGTATTTTTTTAACTGACATGGCAGCATATTTAGTGTCATGCATTAACCAGAAAAGAAAATAAATTCTCGGAGTTGTTTAAATAATTTCAAGAAGACTTATATTTTCTGAAAGCTCCGCAAGAAATTTCTAACTTTCGTAACTCTGTTAATATCACCGATCATTAACTACATTAATAAAATATACGTCACAAAAAAAAAACATAAAAACACAAAAACAATGAACAAGTAAATAAATAAGCAAACAAATTGCCTTAGGAAATATTTTTCGAAGCAAACGACGATCTTCTTCAAGTTGTGCCCATTCAGCTTCTACTTCTTTAAGTGCTTCCCCAGAGCCTTGTAATTCGCGAACAACGTTTTCAGTGTATATTTTACGCAAAGCTCTATAAAAAGATATGGAAACAAATTTTCTTATTAGTTCTTCCATGGAAAATTTTAGTTATAAAAAAAAGAGTATATACTGAATTCGAATAAAATCACACTTTTCATCAGAAAGGTCCAACTTAAACTCCTTTTCAAACAAGGCATTTGTTGGCTTCATACTCGGCATAGACTGATTTTCAACCCACATACCATCTAGACCATCCTCACCATATCTGAAAGCAATTTAATAAATCATAGCTTGTTGTAATTAGACATTCATTGATAACTGCATGAAAAATAATACAAAATTATACATTAAAATTCAAAAAACTACAAAAAACGGCGATACAATCGAACTGCAATCATTCTATCAAGATATTTTAATATGCTATGTCTTTCTTGAAGTCCGTTAACAAAATCTTCCAGTAATATTACAACCACGAATACTGTCCAACTCACGAGTGAAGTAGTCCGTAATATTTGTGCTGACTTTTATTTCCGTTCAGTCTGATGAAAAATGAATGTTTTTGTGACAAATGCAGTGATCATCAGCAGAACCACCAGTGAAAGTTTACCAAATCGTATAAAAAAGGAAGTTTACCTTAACTGCACTAATTGCCCAAGCGAATTGCGCACAGTACCGTCATAATTGACCATTACACTTTCCATAGCTTTGATAAGCCGACGCTGAATGTAGCCAGTTTCTGCTGTCTTTACGGCAGTATCGATGAGACCTTCACGACCACCCATAGCATGAAAAAAGAACTCGGATGGAGTTAGCCCTGCCAAATATGAATTCTCGACGAAACCTTTCGACTCTATAACACAAAACTTTATTACTTCGATCATCCCGTCATTTCACTCTATCTTCCTCACATCTGCTTAATTTACCATTTTTTATGGTTTTTATCACCGAAGCATAGAAATGTAATTGTATTATTACATCAATTCATAAATCCGCATATAATTGCGCGCTGTTAATAAATAAGTTCATTTGTTTTACAAGTTAAAAATTTAGCAACGATAATTAACAAAATTGTAAAAAAACTTGCCGGGTCCGTAATCATCTTTGATAAAATGAGGCAAGGTCCTATGGCGGAAACCGAATGGAATACGTTTACCTTCAACGTTTTGCTGTCCCACACATGCTATGACCTGAAAGTTGCCAAATTAAGTCTAAATTTTTTACAGTATGTGGGATTTTATGGACGTTAACGAAGGCAAAAAGCATAGATTAGAGGAATCTGATTTCTAACAAGGTACGATTAAAAGATTTAACTAATATTTCAACAACGGATTTCCTGCAGCATATTCTCCTGCAAAGGTGTTTCTCCTCTTTCTCTTAAACTTTTTATTTTCTAAAATAAAATACTACTTTACCTGAGAAATATTAATTTTGGATCCTTTGGAACCGGCAACAACCATAGCTTTGAAATTGTTGTGTTCGGATAAAGAACGCTGTGCACTGCCACCAGTACGATCACGTGCATCATTCAAAATGCGATTTACCATATTTTCAAAGGTCTGTCGTAGCGTATTGCCTGGAGTTGGTTCCAACTCGTCATTGTGTGCCCTGAAAAAAAAATTTTTTTCTTCAATTTATGATTTGAACAATACTGAGAAATGTCAAAAAATAACTAATTCTAAAAGACTACTTTTTCCAAAAGCATCAGCAAACAAATAATTTCATTACATTTATTCTTCCATATTCAATTTCAAACAAAAACTACGTAGAACTAAGAAAAGAAGAAAAATTTATAAACTAAAATTTACTTTTCAATAACTTCTACGACATCCAACTTCGCTTTGCGGATCGTTTCTTGAATATCACGATATGTAGCTTGATCAGCAATAGTATCACCAATGCCAATAGTATGCCCTTCAGCAAGCAACCAGGCATTAACAACAGTTTGTATGTGCGAATAAAAGTGTGCTGCAACTTCCCAACCAAGTTCTAACGTGACAACATGTAACAGATTACCAGCTGAACGGCCAACAGTTCGGGAACAAATAATTCCCGATAATAGTTCACCGTGTTCAATGATCACCTGCAATGTTTGACCGAATCTAATTTAGGTTTAATAATCTTATTCATAGCTTACAGCTTTTAATTTCATGCATTAAGAATAGTGGAAGAAAATCGTTATTTAGAAACCAATATTTAATGACGCATACAGTCGTTCAAGTCAACAAAAGAAAAAAGATTATTAAATGAATTAGTATTGTATTGCAGATTTAGAAATTTTATCAATCTTAATTTTAAATGAGAGACTGAAGCAAATGAAAAAAATTCTACCTTAGTATCACCAGGAGAAATCCACTTATAAGGACCGTTATCCTCGTCATCTGGATGAGTTGAATGAGTTCGTAGTACATTCACATTACCTGTATTAAATAATTTAGAAAACAGTGAGCTGGAACAAAGATACAAATGATTTCACAACTAGTTTGATATTTTATTACTCCGAAAGCAATTAATCTGAATTTAAAAGGAAAAACAATGTCAGCCATTCGGAGTGATTTAATCAAAATGTAACAATTATAATGAAAGCATTTTTGGAAAAAGTTATTCAAAGTGCAACAATTACAATGAAAGCATTTTTGGAAAAAGTTTGGTAGTTCTTGACAAAAATCCGTTACAATCGGTTTTGTGACGATGACACTCTTCCGAAAATAGATTTGTAAGATACATTTCTTAGCACAAACTGGTTAAAACAGTTTTTAATTAAATAAAAGAAAAAAATAACCAAACTTACCAGGAATGATCAAAGTGAACACTTGTTTTCCAGTCCATAACGGTTTTGGTTTTAATATAGCAGGCTGGGGAACTTTCCCATCCCAGTTAGGCATCTGCATCAGTAGATCCATCATTCGTGGTAATTCAATAAACACATCACGTTTAGTCATCATGCGGACTGCAGTAAGTGTATCTTGAACAATACCCATCACTGGTTTATTTGCCTGAGCTGTGATCAGCTGCCTGTAAATTAATTTAACTTTTTCTAACAAGATTACCAAATAAATAAAACAAAAGGGTTCGCTAACGCATTGTTTATAGAAATTCATTTTGACTAAATGAGCACACCTTGGCACCATTGAAATTTCAGAAACTTCAGCCTTCGTTTCCAAACTTTGCGGTAAATGTAGGTTCATCTCATCTCCATCAAAATCAGCATTGTAAGGTGTTGTTACGGAAAGATTTAAACGAAATGTTGACCATGGCAGAATCTAGAGAAATATTTCATTACTTATCTGTCTTTAAAACCATATATCCATTTTTACCAGATTTAATTATCATGAAATTACTTATTTCATTATTCAGAAGTTCCATTTTGCCCCACAAATCCCCTCGCCTCAGTTTGATTGAAAATTTTATCCTCGACTACAAAAATTGTGATTGAAAATCATCACCTTAACTTTATGACCCATCATAGACATTTTGTGTAGCGTTGGTTGTCGATTGAAAACAATAATGTCACCATCTTTCATATGTCGTTCCACTCTGTAATAAAGAGTTATAAAGATTTTTAAATGCTGAATAACGAAAGGCACTAACAAGTAGACATGCAGAAAACTGCCATGTCACAAGACTATAAAATAACCCGCCCTTAATATTACCTGTAACCAGGCTGTAGATGAAGATCCGCTGCTCTTGGATGATAACGTAGATCAACTCGAGCACCATTTTCACGAATGATATATTTTGCCCCAGGATACTGACTATCACCACGATTCACCAATTCTTGTAACCTAAAAACAAGTTTATATAACCTACAAGGAAATGTTCCCTGCTGCAGTTTTTGAGATGGAACTAACTGATGCTAAAACATTAAGACAAATAGTAAACAAATAATAAAAACTAACTTATCAATATTGAAAGGTGTAACAATTTCTGGAAATGTCATATTTTGCGCAATAGTACGAGGCACACCAACTGTATCTATCGGCAAGTTTGGATCTGGCGTAATTACAGTTCGAGCTGAGAAATCCACTCGTTTACCCATCAAATTTCCTCTAATTCGGCCTTCTTTCCCTTTTAGACGTTGTTTGATTGATTTCAGAGGTCGGCCTCCTTTTTGTGTAGCCTAAATTATTATCTCCTTGAATTTTCATGCTTCCTAACAAGAAAGTCAAGTGCATTAAAAGCTAATTATTAAAACTTCTGGCGCAATATTCTTGTAGTTAATACTGATCAGCGATGATCTGCCTGCAGTTCTTAAAAAAAATGTATTTATGTATTTATTGCATCTAACAGTAAAAAAAAACAGGTATAAATAAGTGATAATCATTACCGCAGGAAGGCCAGGAATGGAATTATCAATTAGCGTGGCCACGTGATACTGCAAAAGCTTGACGTCTTCTGCAAGGACGTGCGCAGCCGCTCCATTTGCTTCATTTCTAAATTATCGTTACACTCTGATTACTAGCATATAATTTGGTCGCTCTAAATTAATGATATAACAATCTAACATTCAAAAAGCTTTAAGTATTAAAATTGATTGTCAGTAAACAATTTGAACCATTAACTCCTGCTTCGGCACTCTGGGATGAATTTGTCCACTTCTATGTCAGCTTTCATTTTCCTTAAGAAATTTTGAACTAAATAAGGAAATGGAGCTTTGAACTGCAACCAAGAAATACCGCTTCAACTGATTATTAGTTTTAACGATGTCCGAAAGCTTGTGCGTTAAGTCATCCTGATTACGCGCTGAACCAAACGTAACTACAGCAGGCCTAACAGCTAGTGGTGGCACCGCAATCACTTGTGCAATCATCCAGTCCGGACGAGCGTATCGTGGATCCATACCTAAAATATATTTTGGAATAAATATTGATCTCAACATGTATAATGAGGTCGACTTACAATGAAAATTTATAAATTAATGGCGTAATTGTTCTTCAAATATTAAAACACAAACCTATCCTTTAAATACTTGTTTAAAAAAATTACCAAGTATGAGACAATCCGAATCCGAAATTGATTTGAAAATTTCCAGTGCCCGCTCTGCAGTTAAAACGATTTTTCTTTCCTGTAATATCACTTGTGAACTACAATCTTGATATAAATACGACATAAAAGAACCTCATCTCGCTTATGCATTAATCAAAAAGAGTTTCTATTCCGGAAAAAGAAACTTGTGTATCTTCGTTGATGTGCTTCTTCCATTCTGCTATGATATCTATTCCCACTCGCTTGTATGAAGGCTGATATCTACCACAACCACCTGATTTGACTTCTTTCTCACTCTCTTCACCGTCCTAAAAAGAAAATACTAGCTTAAAAAACTCCATTTTGACTTTTGCATTTTGCTTTTGACTTTGGTAAACCAGAGCACTCTTCTATATTATTTCTATTATTTATAAAACGTAAAATAATTACTGTGACTGTTAATTTATACCAATTCACTTCAAAACCCTAAACCTCTGCTAGTTTGAAATCTACGATACTGGTTTCAGATGACACATGAATACCCAACAGAATTAACATTCAGTATTAGTGGGCTATCTATCTGACATATTTTGGAATAGTTTATAAGCTAGTGCATGCCAGTATAATAACAGTCCAAATATTTTCATCTTTTTCTTTGCATTTAGCATTATTAAAATGTTATAATTAACAGAAAACAACCACCTCTCCTCCAACGGCATGTAGCTCATCGCCACCTTCACAAACAGTCTTGCATTTGCATATTTCATAAATTACGGTTAGTCTGCGACGTGCATTTCCAACAGTTTTCTTGAGCAGCTCTTTTATTCGAGCGCTATCTTTATCCACCATTAACCGACTGCAGTAGAAACACACACAACGCAGCAACTGCAGAATATAGAATACTTGGATGATAATTTCTATGAAATAAAGTATGTTACTAAAAGTTAATAACAAAATTGCACATCTACAGATGTCTATATAAAACAAAAGCACAAAAAGAAATATTATCTCTTCCCTTCTTTACATGTATAGAATTACAATGTACTTTCCAATGTTTGAATTACAATATAATGTAAGTAAACATAACTGATTACCTTTAATGTTTTACTCAAAAATCCGATATGAAATACAGGTTTGGCAAGTTCAATATGTGCAAAGTGTCCTGGGCAATCAGCTAAGCTACCAGCGCAAGTCATGCAACGTCCTCTTCGATCGACTACGCCTTGTCGTGGATCCATCAGCCCACCCAACTTCGGTTTTCCATTTTCATAAATTTCGGAAAATTCGATTTCCCCAATTGACATCCGTTTCTGTTCAATAACTTGTATATACTTGTAAAACATTTGATTTTCAATCTTAGTATTTTCAGTAAAAGTATCCTATCCTTTAGAAATTGATAACAATTAAGCCAAAAATGATACTAAAAATGATAATAACCAGAATCATTGAGACTTAATAGGCAATAAGATAAATTAAAGATTTTCAAGTTTGATAAAAGTCAAATTCACTAACAATTTCATCAGGACTGAGGATACCGAACTGTACACGTTTCACAGTGCGTAAAGGTGCACGAAAATCCACGCCGACAAGAGCCATGGATATTGCTATGTTCTTCAGTCACTGATAACGATCAGATCCTTAATATTGAAATATAATTGAGCATAATCATTCCAACGAATAATAAATCTCTATGCCTGACCTCTGACAAACAAATTGACACAAAAAGCTATTTCTGAGATTATCTCGATAGAACTAGTTCTGGAAAGGTCATAGTCCTTCTAACAAAAAAACAAGACTATCTTGCTTAGCATCTTTTGTTAGAGCCAAAACTCCCCAACTTGCCGGACTTTAGCAAAAACCGGTAGAGCAGTTATGCTACGATTTGTTTTGCTATGTAAGGTGCGCTATGCAAATAGATCGTGCAAGAGAGTTTTGAAATATCTCGAGAGATTTTTTGGGTGGTGTTATGAAATGGCGAGGGAGCGGTAGTTCATTCGTGAATTAAATTTTTTAATGGAATAAGTATATTTATCGAATTCGCCATTCATCGAACTTTATTTATTTGTTATAGTATGATAGTGTATTATATCAATTAATCACACCTCATATTTCATCATTAATGAAAGTGATAAGCGTATCAATCAATCATTTATGAAAATGTTTGTGCATTTGTCACTTTTCAATATTATGGTACTCTTCAAAAGTCGTAGCTTTTATCTTTGAATAGGGATTAAAATCAATACGTTTTTAATTAGTCTAATTAATGACGATGCAAAAGAATTTATCCTCGTGTATCAATTTTCTCCGTCTTCAAATTTATCATCGCCTTGTTATAGGGCTAGTTTGAATTACCTTTGGTAGCATTTCAATAGTTCATTTTAAACAAAGTGTAATTACACCGGAAGCAGATATTTACCTTGAAGTTAGCTTCTCGTATCACTTCCCTTTTTACATCAATTAGCAGAAATAGTTCGCGAAGATTATTGATATCACTGATGCCAGCTGATCAATTACAGAGTTTGCCTTAGTAACTAACATTCCTTTTCTTTTCCATTATTTGCTTTATGGGAATTGATCTTTCAACTTTTAATTTCCGATTTACAATTAAATTCTTTCATTACCCCTAAACTTTGATCTTATTTTTTTTTATCATTACAGTGTTTATTATCTACCATTACTATCATTTATCACTGTATTATCAATTATCAATTATCATTACTGTCATTACTACCAATTATCATTATCATTACCATCAATTATCACTATCATTGCTATCAATTATCACTATCATTATTATCAATTATCAACTACTATCACTGTAGCGCTCTCCCTTTATATTAATCCTAGTTTAATCTCAAATATGCTAATTTTTTTCCCTGTACTAGTGATAGTAATTCTAGAATCCTTTATATTAATTTTAACAATTATATCACTGTAACACTCTCTTTATATTAATTCTAACAATTATATCACTGTAACACTCTCTTTATATTAATTCTAACAATTATATCACTGTAACACTTTTTTTATATTAATTTTAACAATTATATCACTGTAACACTTTCTTTATATTAATTATAACAATTATATCACTGTATCACTCTCCCTTTATATTGATTCTAGTCTTTGTGCACATCTTAAACTTAGTATAATCATTTCAGAATTACTGCCACTGTAATACTCTACCCTTTACATTAATTCCAGTTTGGGCTCATTAATGTATTAACCATTGTAGTACCATTGTAATCTGTACAAAGCTTACAATCATCAAACTATCTATTCTAGCTATTATAGGAAAATTGAAAATTTGAAATAGTACTACAGGGAAATTGTTAAATTGTTACATTTGTTACAATACGATCATTCCTCATTTGTCTCTTTTTTTCGTAAGCAACAATTCATCAATTTAGGAATTTAACCGGTTAACAAATAGGTCAACCTTATAAAATCATTTTCTTTGTTCTTAATCAAAAATGGATATAATTTGAGAGTGTTTGAAAATTATTTGTCTTGAGATAGATCATCGATCAAGAAGAAAATAATACATAGATTAGGTTGTAAAATTTTTATCATGCAGATTTATCCATTTACATAAATATGAAATAGTATGTGCCTACGGTGATATTTGCATTAATTGCTTTCTTTTGCATTTCTAAAAAACATGAAAAATATATGTAATGGTATAATAAATATCAATAAATTTCAGGTGTGGTACCATATTACAATACCTTATTTTATAAATATGTAAAATAGATAAATTTTTAGAGTCTAATTTATAAATTGCGCCTTTTGTTTTTAATTATAATCAATTGTAATGATGATAGTATTACTATATATGTATATATTAAAAATATGGCATTGGTTCGTCTCCACACCCCTTTCCCCTTAATCGGTGTACCATTTTGAGCATAGTTTAAGAGTGAGATGCAGTCAGCCGGTTCCTCAAATATAGGTGGTGAGATGCGACGCTATGTCATGATGGCATGTCTCCTTCATACACACACATACACACATACACACACACACACACACACACACACATACACATGCACACACATGTACATATATATATCTATTACATATTGCCGCCATGTGTTCATCCGTTTCCCGCAACGTTTCTAACAATTTCTCTTACCTTAAATCATCAATTCTTCGTTTATTTACTTTGTTGCAATATTTGTGCGCATTTATTTCATTGCAATATTTTTGCATGTAATTTTTCGAAATTTTAATCAATATAAATTAATTAAGTTTCAAAAGAAAAACAATCGAATAATATTGTTTTAATTAATTGAGGAGTAATTACGTGCTTTACGTGTCCTGTTGTCGTATAATTAAACAACGATACTCATGAAATTGAATTGTGCATAATCTGTTAGTATCGCTATATGTCATTCACTTCACTGCAAAAGTGACTCGAGCATTGTTTAAAGGTTAATAGCCTCAAAGTTCAATACTTTCCTCATCTTGTCTTATCTCTGTAGAAACGATGAAACTGGTATTGTCAGAGTTTTAAAATAGTGTCAAATATCAATAATGTATTTTATAGATTAACTCCCTCCACATATTACTGCGAGAGTAAATAAATATAACGATGAATTTTTATTTGGCGCATATGGGATACGGACAAAAAGCGCTCCCTGATATTAGATTTCTACTTAGCATTCATTTTCATCTTTGCTTTTGTTAGATTCTAATTAACGGATTAGAAGTGTCGAATATTAACCATTCAAGTTTTCTTCCTTCATCTATATTCATCTATATAACTTCATCTATAACTTCATTCTTGGGAAATGTGAAATGTACTGGAATTATTCAATCGTTATCATTCTTGTATTATGATGAGATGATCAAATTTCGTTTTATTTATTAAAGAGAACTTGATGAAATTGAAAATCAAATAAAATTGAAATTAAAAGAATCAAATGATCATAATAATCAGACGATACTCTCATCATCATTTCTTTTTGTTTCATCTCATTGCATAGAATTGATTTAATTGAAGAAGAATGGTTTTAAATTATAATTGAAGGATTGAGAAATTACTGAATCATCTAATCTATCACCTCATATTTGCAAAAATGATCTCACTCATTTGTTGTCATTTATTTGCATTATTCTTCTCACTGCCACTTCAGAATTTTTATAAATTTGATCGATTGAATTATTCGATCTTGTGATCTTGTGATCTTGTGATCATGTTTTTCGACGATTTTTTTCTATCCGTTTAATTTATATTTTCAGTATAAATTTAAATTATATGTAAGTGATAAATTATAAAATATTTGATTTGTTTTTTGATAGGAAAAATTGGATTTCACTTAGATTCTACTCTCTCTACTTTCTTTTCTCCCAATTTATCAGTTTCATTTCTGTCCCTTCTTAATCATACTTAACCTGTTCATTGTTTTCTCACCTGAATTTACCGGAGTGTTTGGTTGATTAGTTGCTACACTGAATTAACTCGATTTCTAATTTTGCTCATAATAAATAAATTTTTAGATTTCGAAAGAAATGGATTAAAGTGTTTATGTTCAATTCATTTCAAAGATATCATAGTAGAATATCAAAGTACTAGTTTGGATGACGAACGTGACATTTTTCAAATTGAGATATTGAATTTTTAATCGATCATTCGAAGGAATGGTTCAGAAAATATTGTAGAAATCAAATGATAAGAATAATAGGCTTATTTGAATGGCTATAGTTAAATGTTTTTTGAAAAATAAGTGGGGTAAGGAAAGTAGAAGGTTGAATGGAATTTAATTAAATGAAATGTTGTTCAAAAGCGTGTTTATTTGGAATGGAACAGAAGTAGTAGAACGTTTGAGTAGGAAGAGGCGAAGGAAGAAAATGCAGGAAAGTGGTATGATGATGATGATTCTAACCAGTTCCTCTTCCTCTGATTGTTTATTTACAGTGTAAATGTGTATGCTATAACGCTTACATCCACAATTATCTGCTAAAGTATAACAATCATTGTAATACTTTAATGCTGACCTATAATCATCATATTGGTTTAATTTCCTTAAATTTCAGGTTAAATTTGAATTATTTTGGCATAAATTTCTACGCTGAAATTACCGCAGGCTTGAATAGTATATCCGATAGTAAACAAACTTATTTACTAATAATAGGAGATTTGTTCCACTAAAACTTAGAATTAGAAATTTTGATTTTCGCGATCGTTTGAAATTAGATTTTTGATAATAAGCTGCTAAATTAATGAAGTTATAATGAGGTCGAAATTTAACTAAGATCATATATATCATATAAGATCATATATATAAGATCAGTTATAAGATATAAGATGAAGTTATAATATCATATATATGTAGACTGATTAGAATTAGAAATTTTGATTTTTCTGATCGTTTGAAATTAGATTTTTGATAATAAGCTGCTAAATTAATAAAGTTATAATGAGATTGAAATTTAACTAAGATCATATATATATATATATATAGACTATTGTATGTTAAGATAGTCTAGTTTTGGTTTATTGATTAACATAGATTTGTTAGATAATATCATGTAGTCTGAAATACAAATCTTAAAACAATAATCAACATGTGTTTGAAATCTTTTATTTTTGC